TCTTCTTCCCCCTTTTTTCCCCGGCCCCCTGGAGAGGGAGGAAGAGGGGGGGGGTTTTGGGAGCCGGACTGCTCCCTTCTGGTTTGGAAAGGGTCTTCTTCTTACCCCTTTTCTTGACCACCTCGGAGAAGAGTAGCTCCTCTCGTCGGGGTACGACGGCAGAGGAGGCCACGGGAGTGGTCTTATCCCCTTCAGGGGGGGGTTAAGGGACTCGACTTCTTGCCAGAGTCCCTTTTCTTCCCTTCAGGGGGAGGGAAAGGGCAGTGGGCTGTCGCTGAGCGACGGACTGCGCCGGCACCTTCTTTTTCCCCTTCTTTCCCTTCCTTCTTGGAGTCCTCGGGGGGGGGGGAAGCTACCCTCTTAACGGAGGGTGGACCCGATTCGCTAGGAGGCTTGGGAGGGGGGTAGGGTTAGGCGAGGAGGAGAGCCTCCTATTCACCATCTCCTCAATTGCATTGAGGAGGAGCCCCATCATCCTCTTTTGAACTTCGTTGGCAATATTACCAACGAAGTCCTCGTTCTCTGGAATCCGGTGATTGCTCGTGATCACCGGTTTTTGTGGGCGGTCCTCCAATACTTTACGGACCCCCAGTATCGGGGGCCTTACGGCGGGGTGACGCTCCAGTTCCTCTCTGGAGGGGGGGGGACGATTTCGGGAGAGGGTACCGGGGAGGGGCTCCCCTCCAGTCCCTCCATGTCCTCGTCCTCCTCCATTTTTTCCTCTTCCCCCATAAGTCCAGATCTGGCTCTGGTGACAATGGGGGATGGAGAGGGAGAAGTTCTCCGCATCTCCGCGATTTCGTTGCGGAGGTCGCGTAGTTCCTCCTCAAGGCGGAGGTTTGCCTCCAGAAGGTCTTTCACTTGTACGCCAACATGGGAGGGGGTTCTCCCAACCAAGGGGTCGTAATGGTCCTTCTAAGTACGGGACGCCAAGGCCATGGCTCCCGCCTCTATCGTAGAGGCAGCGGTGTACAGGAGTTTCTGTAGTGTACCCTGTAGCCCGCTGCCTATACTTGCCAGACACATTATAGACTTCACCTGTCCATTGAGAGTATGTAAGACCTCTTGGATAGGTGAGTCCGCAAATTGCTCCGCCCGGAGCTTCATCTCCGCCTCGTGTATGCGGAGTCTTCTCGTCGTTTGATCGACGTTAACCCCTTTTGTAATGGAGAGAGCCAGTTTCTCGTTCTGCTCCTTTTTTTTAGCAGAGTCCTCTCCCGAATTTTCTGGGCGGTGTGCTGCCCCTCCTGTTCGGCCGATTTTGCCGGGCGACCCTGCTTCCTCTTGATCGGGGGGCGAGGATCCGGAACGTCCATCTCCTCGTCCCCTGAGGAGAGTTGGTGGCGCATTTCCACCGTCCTCTTTCTCACCCTTCTCCCGTCAGGGGAATCACTTCCCCCTCGATTGGGGCCGGAGTGGGTCGAGACCACCGAGATGTCGGACGTCTCCGCATCATCTCCGGACTTTCGCCCACTTCCGGACCCAATCAGGGTGTCCTCCGTATCGGAAGAGTCCCTGACCTGCGGAGGCCCCCGGGAGAGGAATTCAGAGGCGCAATTCCGCCTCCGAACTCCGCCTGAAAAACTCCCGGGAAGGGGTGAATCTCTGGTTCCCTCCCTGTCGGCTCCGCTTCTCAGCCTCAAAGGAGGAGGAGAAGGGGTAGCCTTCATTCTCTCCGGATGCCCGTGATGGGCAACTCCGGCTTGCGCATTGGCGCATCTGCGTTGCGAATCTTCGCAGAGCTCCTCCACGTCGTAAAAATAAGAGCAATTCATTTTTGGTTTTAAACCCACAACCCATTACGACTCCGCCGGCCGGGCATGCCCAGTTACCCCCGAGTTCCCCCGAGGAGTCGGCATATGGCGCTGGCACCGGAATGGGCATCCGGTGCACGGGCCTCCAGCCCCTTACTTTCCCCTGGCAGATGTGACTCCAACCAGGGGCTTTCAGGGGTCCCACACCTCCGACTGTGTGAGCACCGTGATGGGCGCCGCCACGCGGGAGGCCCCACGGACGGATGGGGCAGAGGGTTGTAGCAACCCAACCAACCGCCTTGCCCGCCGTGGCAACCAGCGTCGATACTCCTCGTCCGCGCACTCTGAGACCGGTAGAGCCACCGGGACGCGCTCCGAAAGTGCACGGACCTCGCTACTCGACCCCGACCTCAGAATACGTCTGAGCGGCTCGAGCAGCTACCAAGCCAGGCCGAAAACCGCGAGCTATGCTCCCGGAAACCG